TGTGTGTTACTGTTACATGAGAAACTATCTGTTCTGTAAGCCTTCACCTGAAGTACAATAAAATATTAAAAAAAAAAAAAAAAAAAATCCCCTGAAGTCTTCTTAAATCCAAACAATAGCTTAACTAGTATGCTCCTGAGCATTATGCTCTTTTAAGAACTGTTACGTTGTTAGGTGCCCTCAAGTGGGTTCCGACTCATAGCGACCCTATGTACAACAGAACTAAACACTGCTATTCACAAGGTTTTCACTGGCCAATTTTTTCAGAAGCAGACTGTCAGGCCCTTCTTCCTAGCCTGTTTTAGTCTGAAAGCGCCACTGAAACCTGTCCACCAAGGGTGAGCCTGCTGGTATTTGAAGTACCAGTGGCAAAGTTTCCAGTATCACAGCAACACGCAAGCCACCACAGTATGACAAACTGATAGACAGGTGGTGGAAGACTTATCTATAGGGGATCGAACTGACCAAAGCAACTCGAAAGATGAGATACAAACCTTGGGGGGTGGGGGAAGTGAACTTATGTTAAAGCGGGGGAACAACTCAGAAAAGGAGGGTGAGAATAGTTACACAACTTGAAGAATACAATGTCATTAAATGGTACATGTAGAAACTGCTGAATTGGTGTATGTTTTGCTATGTATATTCTCAACAACAACAATAAATTAAATTGTATTAAAAAAATGTATGTGCGTATATCTATATATATATATATAAAGTATTGTACCCTAGGCTCCAAAGGCTTAGAAACTATATCCTAGGATTGTGGGTTGGGCTAGGAAATGAGAAGAGAGTGGACAAAAAATAAAATCTTAACTACCTGGATTGCTATGAATCAAGCCATAAAAACCAATGTGTTTAGGAAAGCACTGTGGTAAAACACAAGCTGAAAATCTCAGAAAGTTCTCTCCTAGGACCAGAACAATGGCCACCCAAACTAAAGCGAGTTGCAGGGAAAACTGCAAGTACCTAGTGAGAAATTTAATGTCACTGCCATGCTTATTTAATCCCCTTGTGGGTCTACGATGCTCAGCGGACCAGTGAAGAAACAATGCCTGCCCTCTGCATGTCAGATGTCTACACTGTTTGCCTTTAGGATAAAGGTGGCTATTCAGACATTGCCAAAGTTTCCGGTTTCTGCGCAGAAAGAAGAGAAAGGCACTACCTACCTGAGAGTCCCATTCTCTCCTTTGTCCAGGCTGGTGAACCGGCTGTAGAGGCGGGTGATCTGACTGTGTGAAACTAGAGAACACAGAATTAGTCCCGGCTGAGGAAGCAGCCCTCCCCTCGAATGGAATGTCAGTGGGGCCCTTCAGAAGCCAGGTGCCCTTCTGGCCCCAGCCCGCCATTAAAGCTTCCAAGAGAGGAAAATGCGGAAGCTTCCACTCTAACTCAGCTCTAGATTGTAAAGGCAGACCATTTAAATGATAAAGAATGAAAGGAGTTAGAAAATTAACTCAAGAGCAATCAAAATGGATCTTTAGTAATGAAGTCTATGCTTAATTACGACTGTTAAACGGTGGTTAAGATGTTTGGAGTCCTGGTGGCCCAACAGTTAAGAGCTCAGCTGCTCACCAAAAGGTCAGCAGTTCAAATCCACCAGCCGCTCCTTGGAAACCCTATGGGGCAGCTCTACTTTGTCCTGAGTCAGAATCGACTCGATGGCAATGGGTTTGGTTTTGTTTTTTTTCAGGGGGAGGGATAGGGAGTTAAGATTTAACAAAACAAAGCCAAATTTAGTTTAAAAGGAAACTGAAAATTTGACATTTTAATGCTCTTGCTATAAAAAGGCATGCTTTGATCAAAAACATATACATATTAATCAGTTTGCTGTTTCAGGCTGGCACTGCCAGGTAGGTAACTCGTGCTAAATTAAAGATCGGGGCATGTCAAACAGGTTCTGTTTTAAATATCTGGTTTACTCCTGTACTGCTGCATTAGACCCTTTACTTTTCCCGCAGGACTGACCTTTGGGTAAAAGGTCACCAGCACCTTGGGTCAGCCTCTTTCTGTGACTGCATGAGTAAAGCAACTGGTTCCAAAGAAGCAAACTAGGCAATCTGTAAAATGGCCATGTTAGCATCACAAGACATCTACCAGAAAGCTATTTTGCTCCTTATTTTGGGTGAACTCCGCAATCTGAAGTACAAGTTGACAATTAAAACAGGGTAATAACTGTAAGTACACAATAAAATTTTGAAAATACAAAAAAAGGATTTCTGGGAAATAGTTCAGTCTCCTGGCCGATTTAGAAGTAGGTGGGAAAAAAATGAGAGCTATCAAAGGAGAAAAGACAACAGCCAAAAAGGGTGTGGCGAGTGTGGACTTCGGCAGGGGCTTACCTTCAGGGGCTTAAAGGGGTGGCTGAAGTAGTTCTCATAGCTGTTCTCCTCCCCCAGCTCCTGAGACAAAAATCTAGCTGCAGACTTAGTAACAAAAGAACAAAGTAAACGGGGCATACAGGAGAAGGAGACAAAGGCACAGGAGCTGGGGTAAGAGGACACTAGGTGTGGCTGTGAATTCTTCAGCATCAAGTTTCGCCCTCTAAGCTGGGCTCTGCTCTGTTCTAGCCCTCTCAGGAGCTCACGGGGCAGAGAAGGTGGGAGAATCACTTTTATTCCCGTTGAGGGCAGAGCCAGCAGGGGCCCTGCCACTTGGGAAGTAGCTGTGAACCCTGTAGGCCAGCCAGGCGGTCCTGAACAGCTCAGTGTAAAGAGTACACTCTTGTGAGGGTCAGGGAGACTGATTCGGTCTGAGGCATCACTGTTTACCAGACAGGGGAAATGAACGAGGCTGTGAGGCGGGCTAACAGAGCTGATGAAAGTAAAGTGCTGGTGACAACTGGTCTCTACTTGCCTGGACCAACAGAGGAAGAAGGACAATCAGGAATAGCAAGAGGATATAGAATGTGTGGCCAATTGCCTCCTTGAACAACTGCCTCCTTTGCCATGAGACCAGAAGAACCGGATGGTGCCAGGCTACCATTACCGAACATTTTGAACAAAGATTCTACAGAAGAATCTTTGCAGAATAGAATTTCAAATTCTCATGGGACTCCAGACTTTCTGCAGCCAAAGGGGCTGGATGAATCCCTGAAACTACTGCCGAGATAATCTTTAAAACTTAAACCAAAAATATTCCCTGAAGTCTTCTAAAAACCAAATAATAGTTTAGCTTAACTATGTAAAAAATGTCTGCCTTGAGCATTGTGCTTTTAAGAACTATCTATACGGGATCAAAGTGACAAAAGCAACTTGAAAGATTGGACAGGAAGCTTAGGGGGCAGTTAGTTTATGTCAATGGCGGAGGAACAACTCGGAAGGTGTGTATGGCTGCACAACTCGAAAAATGTAATCAATGTCACTAAATGTACATGTAGAGACTGTTGAACCAGTGTAGGTTTTGCTGTGTATATTCTCAACAACAACAAAGTAAAATTAAAAAAGAAAAAAAGAAAGTAAAATGCTTGGCGAAGTGTCTGGCACATGGTAAGCAGCCCAGGTTACTATTATTGTCATCATCTTTACATCATGGCCTGAAGGTACAGTTTTACTGCTGCACTAATTAAATCTTCACTTTCCTCCAGACTCTGCCAGTCACAACCAATTTCGTTAGGAATCTGACCAGTTTATCCTGGCTATGGCCTCTGGCCTCAAAAGCTGTTCTAAAGTTCCCTTTAGTTTAACAAAAATAAGTCAGTTAAAGAATTACTAAGTTTCCCAAGATTTTTTTAAAAAACAAAATTTACTCAGCGCAGTGGTTAAGAGCTCGGCTGCTAACCAAAAGGTTGGCGGTTCAAATCCACTAGCCACTCCTTGGAAACCCTATGGGGCGGTTCTACTCTGTCCTATAGGGTCACTGTGAGTCGGAATCGACTCAACAGCAATGGGTTTGGTTTACTTTTCACTTGTTAATTCACAGCTTTTCTATATTGCTTTGGAGACTTCCAAATTATTTTCAATGACTGCATAATAATTAATCCACTGGGTCATTTTTAGGATATTATATATTTCAGATTACTTTGAAGGAAAACATTAGAATTCTATCTCTTCTTATACTCTTTTTTTTTTTTTTTAAGTTGAGAAAATAATCCATGCATATGGTAAAAATGCAAATAGGACAAAAAAGTATACCATGAAAAGTCTCCCTAACACCCAAATGCCTGTCCCCCTTGCCAGAGGCAAACACTATTACCACTTTCTTGTGTCCTTTTAGAAATTCCCTATGTGAATATGTCAGTGTGTAAAGCGATTTATAGAAATTTAAAATCAGAAGGAACTTATCAGCTAGTCCAACCTCTTCAACTAACGAACGTGGCATCAGACATTTTTCTAGTCTAGGTGATCATCTGAAATAAATGAGTACTGAAACCTATTATAGTATGATTTTTAAAATTCCCTTAATAAGTACTGGTATGGCATTATACCCCCATTTCAGGAAAAAAAAAAAAAAGGATCATTTTATGGATGCTTGAGTACATAATTTACCAGGATGTTAAAAATAAACATGTAGATAAGTAGCCAAAACAATCATAAAACTGCCATCTTCTAGGACAAACTGGGATATGTAGAAACCAGTGGGGAAATGTACAAATGTCAACTTTTAACATTACTCAATATGGTCACATCTGAACCTATGTCCTAAATTCAAGAACTAATGCTATGATGATATTGTTACTAAGAGCTTTGTTAACAAAGGAAGAAAATAAGAAAGAAAAGAAGGAAAGCAAGCAATCTTTGAGTTAGATGCTTAATTCACAGTGACAAAGAATATAACACAACCCCAAGGTGTAGAGCTCAGGATCAACCCCCATCCACTTACAAAGTACCTACACAATCCACACTCAGGAGGTTACTAGAACTGCCATAAATGAAGGCGGGACATGTTTCCAGTAAACTGTTCTCACCAGAAGGCATTAAACTATCAGGACAGGTGTCCAAAACCCACACTTTTCTTGGTAACCCAAAGGAAGTCTAAGGAGTTGACAGTTACTCTCACAAAAGGTTGTAAACACGGGTATGTCTTGAAAGAAGCTATATTCTTCTCCACTGATGGGCAAATTATTATTTTATACTGTTGAAAGATTATTTAAAAGACCCTACAAACCTTTCTGACTACTATCACTGCCTCCTGCTCAGAGGAGAAAGGTATTCAGAGAAGCCCAACCACCAAGGAGGAATGACAAAGGAAAGAATAAAAACGAAAAGAGAGTAACTAAAAAGTTATTTTGGCACATGTATACCAAGGAGCCCTGGTGGCACAGTGGTTAAGAGCTACGGGTGCTAACCAAAAGGTAGGCAGTTGGAATCTACCAGGTGCTCCTTGAAAAACTCACGGGGCAATTCTACACTGTCCCATAGGGTCGCTATGAGACAGAACTGACTTGAGGGCAACAGGTTTGGTCTGGTTTTTGGTACAGAGTTTATTAGTAGTTAACAGGGGCGGGAAGGAGGCCGAAAGGGGAGTCACTGCCTAGGGGGTGCAGAGTTTCTGTTAAGGGTGATGGAAAAATTTGAGATTAGATAGTGGTGGTGGCTGCACAACCTGATGAAGATAATTAACACCACTGAATCGCACATGTAAAATGCTGAAAGGACATTTTGTTATATGTATTACTGGCTCCACAATTTAAGGAAAAAAACCACGAAATTTTGTCTTGACCTTTATCGTAAGTCTGAATGCATAAGAAGAGATTGATAACCTAGGTAACAGATACAAGTGTAGCCCAAGGTGCCTCTAGATAAAAGATTAAGAAGTTGAAGCCTGCACCCCTAGCTATTCTTCCTGAACGTGCCACACCCAACACTTCCTGTTTACCCACAAACAAGGAACCAATGTCTTCAAGAGCTCACTTACTCTCTTAGAGAACCGATCTATTAAAAGGTGTTCATTACACCGTTCTTCTAACTCTTCCATATCGTAAAAAGTTTTTTGGAGAGCCCTGCACTCGAGTCTGATATTCCAGTTCACAGTAAGTTTGTCTTCTCACTACAATCTAAGTTCCTTCTCTTCCATATAGTGTTTGCTCCTTGTAACGCACTAATCACTGCTTTGTACTATATTTTGTGCCTTTCTTTTCTCCCTTTAAAAGCAGAGAATTTAGCAGCTGCTGCTAGGGTCAATTATCTTCAAAAGGAGTAAACCTCCAAACACTCTATGCACTGGACCACTTGCCCCTACCAAAACATATGAGCCCTGTTCTCTGATATGACAAACTAATAAGAAACTAGTTGCCGTCGAGTTGATTCCGACTCATAGTGACCCAGGAGGACAGAGTTGAACTGCCCCGTAGGGTTTCCAACGCCGTAAATCTTCACAGAAGCAGACTGCCACATCTTTCTCCCGCGGAGCCACTGGGTGGGTTCGAAGCACTGACCTTTTGGTTAGCAGTCGAGCGCTTAACCACTGCTCCATCAGGGTTCCTCTAATACGACAAGTGATTGTTTTTTACCCTACTCCAGCAATAAATGAGCAGAAAACTTTGGGCTAAAACTAGAAAAGCACAGAGCTTTATAAATCACTTAACCAAAAACCAGCTAATGGTGTTAGTTATACCCCGTATTTGCATTTCAACAAGAGACAGAAGACAGCAGTGGAACTCAGAGTCCGACTGGAGTGACAGAACCTTCAAGCACTATGGCCAATGAGGGTCATGAAGGGGTCTTATACTTTGAGGCAGTAACAGTCTGAAGCGGAACTTCCACTGAAATGCTAGCCCAGGGAATTGTTCTCAAGCAATTGTTTTTACCAGGCTTGCGCTTTTCGTTGGAACTATAGAGAAACCCCCACCAGTTCTATCATTACTACACCCTTTTAAACAAACAAAACCTCACCAGCCTGTAAAACATGCTTCCCAAACCTGTTCAACTCCCTCCCCATACCACATGACACGGCAGAAAAATAAATCAGTCTGTATTCATTACTACTCAGTTGGCATGAACTATTTCTCTCAGCTTAATGGCTATGTAAAAAAAAAAAAGGTTTTAAGTGATTCACAGGATATTGCTACAGTGAAGTGAACTAAGAGAGGAGATTACAGAAACTCCCAAGACATTTGTAACCTTTCCCCTTAATTACATCTTTTATTCAAATGAGCTTTAATTTATGGAAATGCAGAAGTGTGAAAGAAGGCAGTAGTCAAAGAAAACGTAACAAATATTTTATACCAACACAAAGTATTTCTTAGACAGTGTTTCTTAAACTGTTAGAAGCATCAGGATTTCTACTCCTTTTCAAGTGTTACTTCCCTTAGTATTGGTAAAACAGCATCTGGACTTGATTCCTAATCCAATGCTCACTGAAAACAGGAAAATTATAAACGTTGTCACCTTCCCAATTTTATAGCCCTTGACAACGGTTTATAACTAGCTCATGCAAATGGTATTTTCCCAATAAAATGATTGCTATCTGTCACGGATTGAATTATGTCCCCCCAAAAAATGTATGTATCAATTTAGCTGGGTCATGATTCCCAGTATTGTGTGATTTTCCGGTATGTTGTAAATCCTGCCTCTATGATGTTAATAAGGGAGGATGAGTGGCAGTTGCGTTAGTGAGGCAGGACTCAATCTACAAGATTGGATTGTGTCCTGAGGCAATTTCTTGAGATATAAATGAGAGAAGTGAGCAAAGAGACATGGGGCCTTCCTCATACTAAGAAAGCAGTGCTGAGAGCAGAGCGCATCCTTTGGACCTGGGGTCCCTGCGCGGAGAAGCTCCTAGTCCAGGGGAACATTGATGAGAAGGCCAACAGCGAGAGAAAGCCTTCCCCTGGAGCTGACATCCTGAATTTGGACTTTTAGCCTACTTTACTGTGAAGAAATAAATTTCCCTTTGTTAAAGCCATCCACTTGTGGTATTTCTGTCACAGCAGCACTAGATGACTAAGACACTATTGAAATAATAATAGCTCATACTTACTTGGAACTTATTATATATCAGACACTATTCTAAGCAGTTACATAATTTATCCCATTTAATCCTCAGAAGAATCCTGTAGAACAGGTCCTATAATCATTCCCACTTTACAGATGATAATACTGAGGCTCACAGGTAATTCTTAACTAGAATTACTTTTCCAGACACTTTGTGATTAAATTTCAAATACTAGCTAAACTACTCATATATGAATCCTAATCAATTTAGAATATGGAAAATATATTTAGATATAATCAATGTAAAGCTTTCATATGGAATATAAAGTCAGTTTTCCTCAATTATGCTACATTTTCTTACAAAAGGAGTAGTGAAATGTCTTACACTTATTTTTAACTTAAAGCATTCCTGACTGATAGTTCCCAAAACTCTTTTTAATGGAACAAGAAGCAGAGAAAAACCTCCCTACCCTACATAGGGTACATACGGTCGCTATGAGTCGGAAGTGACTCGATGGCACCAAACAACAACAACCCTACCTCCCAAAGAACCCTGGTGGTACAATAGTTAAGCAGCTGGCTACTAACTGCAAGGTCACTGGTTCAAACCCACCAGCGGCTCTGCAGGAGAAAAGACCCGATGATCTGCTCAGTAAAGATTTATATAGCCTGGGAAACCCTATGGGGCAGTTCTACTCTATCCTCTATCCTCCCAGGAATTTGTTGTTTTAATTCTTCTAAACCTTTTGCATCATGCTAAAATGACTGCTTTAAGAAACAACTCTGCTGATGGGCATCAACAGGATAAACTGAGGGCTCAACTCCCAAGGCAGAGGAATGACCTTCTAGCAGGGAGGGGGAAATGGCTCCTGGAAGCCACCCAAAATGCCCTCAGTTAATTTATCCAAATCTAATCTGTTTATCCATGCGTCAAGGGCAGCCACAAGGAACTCTCTCTTCCCTGAATTCTGAAGGTGGGTGCCCCACAATTTCAGCTATCTTATGTCACGATGCTAATCATAACTTTCTTGTGCTTATCTCCCCAAACAGGTTGTGGCATCTTTTATCACTATCTTCTGAGTACAGAGTGAGCATAGTTATTGATCGCCGTCATTGCAAAAATTCAATAAATACTTGTTTCATTAGGCTTTTGGGCTCAATACAGACATTTGCACTGGTAGTAGATGAGAATCTCCCTCACGCTTGATTCACTGTTGGGCAACTGGGAAAGGTCTTCCATGAGTACTTAGATCTGTTCGTCCAGTCACCTGGGAAAACAACCAAGAGTTCTAAAGCCATCCAGGCCCTTTTTACTTAGTCAAATAAAAATAAACCAGAATTGGATTACTGCCCCCTTCATTCTAAGACAAGAAGAGCTCTCTCCTATCCTCACTATGGTTTATACTTCATTATGTGACTCTATCGTAAGCAAGAATTCTCAATTCTGGTGTCACTCTAGACCTAAATTAGTTATTGTAAGTGTGGCCAGCAGTCTTGGCCACAAAATGTAATAAAATACTTGCTGAATCCAAACTTCAAATATTTCTACTCCTGGATTATGGGGAAGTCATAAAATGACTCTGAAGTCAAGTGGCCAAATAAAAACTGTAAATTATAAACAGCGAATTACTTTCTGTCATTCAACTAAAATCGTGAAAAGGACTGCCTTGGTAGGTGGTGCGCTCTCGTCATTAAGGGTCTTTAAGAAGACCGTAAATGGCCATATGTTAGGGGATGCTGAAAGAAGTAAATCAATCTGACAAGGGGTTGGGCTAGATGACATCCCTTCATCAGAAAGCACAGGACATCATTTAATGTATTCCAGGCCACTACTGCTTGTAGTTCGGCACCCCTCAGTGTTATCTGCATGTGGGCTAAGTTACCCCATTATCAAAGACAGCGATCACGAAGAGACAGAGCTCAGGTGACTACATAATTCATTCAAAATACAAGACTTCATAAAGGATTACTGAGGAGAGACAACACTGTATGCCCTATCATGGGCTATGCAAACCTATGATGGTGTTTTACAGCAGGGGTAGGTGAGGGGAAGCGTCTGCTATGTGGTTTGGGTGCGGAGTGGGGCACTCATCCTTTTCTCCAATTTGCTTTCAGGACTATCATTTGATAACCACCACCGGGTGGTCTGGAGGTCCCCAGATATTTCTTCCTCAACAGCAGTCCCTCTTTTTTTAGTTCTAAAGTTCGAGGAACTCACCGTGCAAAGCCCTGTTGCTCCTCTGTTTTGCTAATGAGGATAAAAAATCAGTTCCTAGTACAAATTCTCAATAATATTTTGAGGGCACATGCAATTTCAATAGCGACTGCATGAAGTACAGCAGCAGAGCAGAAACCAATATATCTGCAACTGGGACAGCAAGCATCCTCAGCGTAAGTCAAAATCCGTACTTTTTCTCCAAAAGTTCAGACGGAATGAAGTCTCTTACTCTCAGCTCCCTGACACTTAAAGGGTCTCCTGTCACCAAGTCACGTCTTCCAAAACCTTACTACTGTATACGGCCTTGGTTTCTGGGTTTATTTTTTCCAGTTTCTGGCAAGAACCTGCTTGTGATTTTCCACAGTTGTCAGTGGTTTTAGATACTTGCTCAAACATTACAGAAACGGATTATATTCGTTACAGGATTCATCTAGAGCTCCCGAATTTGCTTCTCGGGCTTTACCTACTGCTCAGGATGCCTATTCATAAAGAAGGTTGCGGCAAGAAAGATAAATGAAAGGAGTTCGGGGGCTTCATGCACAGTGGGGGGAAGGAGAAAAGAGGGGTGCCCGTGCCGTATGAGTGACAGACACTCCCGCCTTTGAGTGGAAAGACAGCCCCACAAGAGCCAGAGTCCCACTCAGGGTGCTGCAGCTGGAAGAAGAGGTCTTTCAGCCCTCGGGCCCCCGGAGATCCAGCGCTAGAGGCCGCTAAGGACCTCCTCGACCTCACCGGCACCAGAGCTCCAGACCTCAGCGACCACCGTCCTCAGTTTCATGACCAGCTGGAGGCGCCGGGTCTGGTTCCCACCCCGGCCCGAACTCACAGCCAGTCTCCTTCTTGATCTCCTCGAGCTCTTCGTCCCGTAGTAACGTGGAGGCCCGAGACCCCATCCCCGAGTCAGGAGTTCCTCTGGGAGCAGCGGCGGCTGAGGCAACTGCGAAGGAGGGAAGGAAGGAGAAAGAGAAAGAGAGGGTAGGGGTCAAGAAGGGAGAGGGCAGTGTATCTACTGCGGACTAGGGAGAAAACCCAGGGGTGGTGCGAGGGGGAGGGCGGACTCGGGGACCAGCCAATCAGCAGCGAGGCTACGCCCTGCGCAGGAGCCGACGTGGGTTCTTCCAGCCCCAGCCTCCGAATAAATCAACCAGGCGCCCGCCCGAGTCGCACAGAGAACTGACCCCGCCCCCGGAACCGCGGCTGCCACCGGCCTTAAAGGGGCAATGGCATTCTGGTGCTTGCGACTGCAGTTAAAAGGGCAATGCCACCGACCCACTGTCGTACAACATATTAAGTTGCGGTAGACAGCGTATAGCCTAACCCATTTCTCACAAGACTCCCACCCTATAGATGGTATGGATTGCGGAAAGAAACAATAAAAATAGGTAGCTAGACAAAACGTCGCAAGCGGGGAATCCTAGGGTGCGTCCCCTGGGAATTGCATGCTGGGAATTGCATTTCTTTTTTTCTGGGCAGCCCTCTCTCCTCCCGATCACAGGGGGCGCTCGAGAACCGGCCTCGGGACTGCGCGCCGATTGGCTCCTCTACGAGAAGGCGGGAGCTGGGGGGGAGGGGTTTGAGGGGAAGCGTTCACTTTGCGGTTTAGGCGCGGAGTGCGGCTTGCCTTACCCCAGTTTGCTTTTTCATTTGATAACCACCACCGAGTGGCTTGGAGGTCCCCGAGATTTCTTCCTCAACAGCAGTCCCTCATTTTTTTAGTTCTAGACTGAAGTTCGAGGAACTCATCATTTGGCGGAAATTAGGATCAGATGTTCTCAAACTTGGCTTCGAAAGGAAACCCTAACGGCGGAAGAGAGTGAATTCCTAGCGTATGGCCCGCCATTTATTTGAAATTTCTTACTTTGTCTTAAAAATGAGGAATTTTGCATTTTAATCTATGGCATATTCTTGTTTGTTTTAACTGAGAACGTTTAAAGCCACCAGTTACACCCTCTCAGGTGAACCAGTTCTTTTCTGTGGCTTTAACTGCCTGCCACCCCCTCCTCAACGTTCGAGTGTTTGGACAGAACCGGTTTGAGATATGGAAGAACCACTTTCTGACCACTGTCACTTAGTACCTAAGTACCGGGGAACTCAGTATCTTGGCAGGTTGCTCGAAGTCAGTTTACGTTACTCGTTTTAAACTTTTCCTACCGCTTTGACGACTTAGCGTAAGGCATTACGCGTTCCCCGAGGGCCAAAGCTCTAGTCTCACCGAGTTGCCTTTATGATGGGTCTGGTCTTGTCTGACCTCGTGATGTCTGCCTTCATATGTCGAGTGACGTTTTGACCTAATAGAAGTCACAGGGCTTCTTTCGAATATAGTGTAATAGGAAAACCTTGATGTCAGCGACATAAATATCCCTTTCCTGAGTTAGCCTTTGAAACCAGTCTCTTGATCCTGACCTTACTTTTCCCTTCATAGTCTTCAGTCTTAACTATTTGCATCTGTGTTTGGTCAAAGCTTTATTTGCTTTGTGGGGTTCCCCCCCGTTTCTGATTTACTTTAACATTTCTTTAATTTCCTTATTTTCCAAGTATTTCACAAAAACTTATATTTCTTAGTTATCTTTTAAAAATATAAAAGATATATATATTTTTTCCTATTAAGGGCTGTTTTTTTCCAATTTAATTTTTTGTTTTGTTTCGGTAAAAAATTGCCCCTTTTGCCTTTTGGATTAAAATGAACACACAATTTTCTCAGACAGTCTGGTGACTGGTTTTATGCTCTCTGAGAGCCCTGGTGGCACAGTGGTTAAGAGCTACGGCTGCTAACCAAAAGGTCGGCAGTTTGAATCCACCAGCTGCTCCTTGGAAACCCTGTGGGGGAGTTCTACTCTGTCCTATAGGGTCACTGTGAGTCAGAATCAACTCAACGGCAACAGGTTTGGTTTTTTTGATTCTGTGTGCATAACACTTGGTCTTGTACTAGACCACACACATCCTCCACTAGGGCTCTGGTTTTGGTTAAGGTGCCATTATCTTCTAGCTGTGTGACTTTGGGCAGGCATCCTAACTCTCTCAACCTCAGTTTCCTCTTCTGTAAATTAGGTAATAGTTGTTGCAAGGATCTAATGAAATAATATTTGTGAAAACACTTGAGAGATCTTAAAGTATTATAAAAATAAAGGTTATTTATGTGGCCAAATGCCCTGTAACTTCTCATGCTCTTCCTAGATGAGTTAGATCTAGTTATTTCACCAATGTTTTATACATAGAGCAAATTGCAAAATTCACTTGGTGAATATCCCTAGTGTGGTAAAGGTAAGCGGCTTTTAAATTTAAACCATCATAGAAGAGCTGGTTGTAGAAGAGTTGGGTCCTAAACATCAGGGCAGCCAAATAACAGAATTGTTTTCAAAGATTCTTTTAAAAAAATCTTTTAAATTACGGTATTAGACTAAATAATGTAAGTTTATCTATTATGAATTAGTTATAGGAGGCAGAAACTTTTTACTTTGTACATTTCTGCGTTGTCGTAATTCTTTATAGTGAGCATGCATCATTTTTACAAGAACAGTCAAATATATGGCATGGAGCAGTTTGACTCATTGGTGATGCCGCAGCAGCCCAGTCTCTGAGCTGTGGCTAGGGTAGAGTGGAATGGCTTTTGCAGAGACATCAAGGCAGCCTGATTGATAATGCATAAATGGTGATAGTAGTTCTCATTCACTTATGCTTTGGTTGGTGACAGTGTCAAACTCTGGAAATATTCCGGAAGAGGCTAGATCCAGGATAGGTTAGATCCCAGACATTTCTGGGTAAAGTTTATTATAGCATGTGTTGGCAAGGATTTTGCCGATGTAAATTTTTTTCATTTGCTATTCTTGTTTTTTTGCTTAAAAATTACATAAATATGTCATTTTAGAAAATGGCCTCTAAATATTCTGCTTGTTCCATTTAGCTAAGGAAGGGAAGGTGATATTATCTCTATTTTATAGACGAAGAAGCCAAAAGGCCTGCCTTGCCCAAAGTCTTGCAATATTCAGTTTCCCATGTGTGACTGAGAATTGGTGCTTACAATGATCCTTTTCTCATTATCATTCTAAAAAGATTAACAAAACTAATTACACTCATTTTTATTCTTGTCCTTCACAGGTATGAGGAAAGGGAAGAGAACCCCACTCCCCACCCCCCCAAAAAAAAAACATTTAAAAATCATAGATCTCCTTAATTTTCATGTGTTTGGATATTTAAAGAAGATTATTTAAAGACTGCTTTTGGAATCAAATAGCATGGATCCCAGCAGTGACTACCATTTCCTCAATCAGATTTTGTGGAGAAGGGTGAAACTCACATTGGTTTGTGGCATCTTCGAGGGAGTGCTCCAGCACGTGGACCGTAACAAGATTGTTGTCCTAAAGAAAGGTGTCATTCTATTTCTCGTAATCTTTTGCCGAGTTTTCTTTCAAGAGATTAGTGACTGAGTTTGAGTGATCGCTTTGGGCTCCATGAACGACTGCGAGGGAGGCATTATTCCTACTTTAGGGAAGGAATGGGGCGGGAGGAAGGTTAGAATGCTGTTTCCCCTAACATAGCAACACGGCCGCATATGTTTGTCCTCACTTTTATACTCTTATTGATGTGATAGTGGAAAATTTCAATATATAGTTTTTTTTCCCTTCAGCTCAAATATTAACTTACTAGGGCAGTTGTTTTATTGGCATGATAAATTTCAGGTTCACAATTGAAATGTATAAACGTCATCTGAGAGGTTAGTGTTACTGTTACGCCATATTGTGAGTTAAAATAGGATTTGTGGGCTAGGATGGGACCGTAACAGGCTTTTGAGACATTAATTCATTCAGTAATCATATACTAATTGTTTTTTTATCCCAGGCAGTGTGCTAGATATCAGAGATACAAATAGGAATAACATGGCCCCGTCCTTAAAAATCTTAGACTAGTAAGGAGATAGATAAGCAAGTAGACAAGTATAATACAGTGTGATGCCCTCTTGGATGGAGGAATGCACAAGATTCTCTAGAAAATCAAAGCTTCAGCTAATTTAGATCTGGCAGTGCTTGGGTTGGCACAGTGGTAAGGCCTCCTAAGGGAGAAATTGATGATAGAACTGCATCTGGGTGAGTAGGAGTTAACTGCATGGAAAAAAAAAGGGAAGTTTTAACAGGATAGTTTTAAGCTTGTGGTTCTCAAACTTTATTCATGTGTCTAAATCACCTGGGAGACTTGTTGAAAGCATAGATTGCTAGGCCCCACACCCAGAGTTTCTGATTCTATTGGTCTGGGAGGGGACCCAAGAATTTGCATTCCTAACAAATTCCCGGGTGATGCTGATATGCTGGGACCACACTTTGAGAACCACCATTTTAAGCAGAAGGAACAGCGTGAGCAAAGGCATGTTGTTCTTGTTAGTTGCTGTCGAGTTGATTCCGACTCATGGCGACCCATGTGCGTAGAGTAGAGCTGCTCCGTAGGGTTTTCCAGCCTGTGACCGTTTGGAAGCAAATCGCCAGGCCTGTCTTCTGAGGTACCTCTGGGTGGGTTCAAACCACCAACTTTTTGGCTAAGTAGCGAAGCACTTAACTGTTTGTGCTGTCCGGGGCCACAGTGACGTGAAAACGTGGTGCATTCAGAGAACTCTAAGTAAATTCAGTATGAGGATGTGATGAGAGATAAGGCTGGAAAGTAATATTTGAAGGATCTTGCATATAGTATTTGGACTCTACTCTGAAAGTAATGAGGAACAATCTGAAAGAGTTTTAAGTGGGATAAATTTTCAAGTTCGTTGCCAAAAAAATTCAATGCTCTGTCAGTTAGGAACCATGTTCAGTTCTGGAAACAGAGAGCTGTCTACAGTGAGTTAAACAAATTAGGGGTTTGTTGTCTCATATAAAAAAAGGCAGGCAGCCCAGGGCTACTGTGACTTCGCAAAGTTAACAGGGATCCAGAATTCTTCCTATTCTACCATTCAGGGCACAGAATAGGTAGAGTCACAGACAGGAAGAAGAGGAAAGGCAGGGGGCAAAAGGGTATTTCTCCCAGCTGAGTTAGTCCCCCAAAGAGATGTCCTGGCAGTCTAAGCCACTGCTGTCTGCAGCAGAGGTTGGGCACGTTGCCAGCCTGGATAAATGGCATCGAGTAAGCAACAATCAGTAAATGCCACATGATTGTTCCGCAAAGCATTCAGTCCACATGAAATATTTTGCTGTGTTTCTCTCTAGTCTTTAATAACACAGATTTTATAGGGTTGACATAAATCTGGTATATCATATGTATTTTTTTTTTCAGTTAACACTATAACAAGCATTTTCTCATGTTATTTAAAATTTTGATTTAATGGCTAAACATTTTAAGGCAAAAAGCTTAAGAGCTCTTTTTCTATTTGGAGTTATAATTGTTTTCTTGGAGATAATTCCCAGAAGTGAAATCACTGGGTTAAAGTTATGGATATTTAGGTGTTTTTGATGCATATTTCCAAATAGCTTTTCAAAAGGGTTGTGCCTTTTTACTTTGCTACTAGCAATTGAGTGTGTACCTATTACAGTGAATAATCTAAGTTTGGCTTAGAAAATGCTGATGTGTTTCTCTCTTTAATTTTTGCTAGCTTTATAAAGCAAAAAGTGATATCTCATTTTGATGCGTTTTAAAAACATTCCTAAATAGGTTGATCATATATCTTTATACTTGTTTATTGTTATGTACTATTTGTACAAAGCAGAGAGTGACATCACTATGACAGCCCTATGAAGAAAGGACTGAAGTAGATGGAAAATAGAGGCAGGGAGGACAGAGAAACTATTCAGACAATCAAGGGGAAATGATGGGAGTCTGAACTAAGGGTGTAGCAAGTAGTGGAGAAGACAGATTCTAGAAATATTTGAGAGACAGGATAAGTAACCTAGTAATCAATTAGATAATAAACAAAGAGCAATGGAAAATGACTCTGACGTTTATGACTTAGAAGATTAGGTGTACAGTACTGCCACTCATTGATATAAGTGAAAAGAGAGGCAGGCGTGCTTGTTGGTAGAAGAAGATAATGATTTCAGTTTTGAAAATTTTACACTATCTGTCTACTATTTAGTTGGAAATGTGCTCAGAGGAATAGTCCAGCCTTGAGAAACAATGGGTGGTAGGACAAATGGGAAGTAGATGTGATCATTCAAGGAGAAGGAAAAAGGGTGTAGGACGTTAGCCTGGGGAGCATCAGTGTGTAAGGGGAGGGTAGAGGTGGTGGAGACCTGAAGGAGCAAATCAGGGAGACGTTGCAACACTGGGTACAAAAATGGATACTAACATCAGTGAGGCCTGATTTTGAATCCTGACTCTGCCTTTTCACTAGCAGCATGATCTTCAGAAGTTATCTAACCTTTCTGAGGCTGGATTCCTCCATAAAATGGGGATAATGAAATGCCTATCTCATTAGGCTCCTGGAGAATTGAATATAGGCAGATGATTAGCACAATGCCTACCCAGAGTTGGTGTTCAATATGGTGGCTCTAGATGTTTAGTAGGAGAAGAGCTAAACACAAGGAATGCCCTGGAAGCCAAAGAAGAAAGGAGATAACAGTATTGTCAAAAGTTGCATGGGCATCGATTATAAACCTGTACTATTATTTGTATTATTATACTTGCTGTATTATCATACTTGATGCATGGGCATCACGTATAAGCCTGTATTATTATTATTTTTGGATCTGACAAATAGGCAAATTTGTCAAATCCTTTGACCTCAGAGTATTTTCAATGGAATACTGAGGGTAGAATTCAAATTATTTTGGATTTATGAGAGGTGATGAAACAGAAAACTGCACTGAGCACTTCCATTTAGAAAAGTGACTGCATGTTGTAGCCATGACATCTAAGCTTCTCCTGACTCCCTCACCTACTCACAGAAGAACCCTGTGTTTGGGCCAGGAGTTAGATTGTTGTCCCTGATAATTAATATTTTCAAGCATATAGCATGACATGAAGCAAGGCATGGACTCTAGAAGAGGTCAGCTGCCTTGAAATTTTTTCTGGAATTAGGTGGAGTAAAAATAAACAGAAATACAATAAACAGATGGTCCTTAGCCCAAAGGGCCTTAGAATATTCTCGGGAGAAGTATAAATTCAGTATACCACTACTGCCCTTTATAGTATTTGTTTCAAGGCTGTATCTTTATAATTTATTACCTACTCTTAATTTCTTAGGGGAAATAATTTAAGGGCTTTTATAAAGCTCTGATTTGGACACTTTTGAGAGGCATTTATTTTATTCTAGTTTAAGGGAAATGTTACTTTTTATTCACCAAATGAATTGTTTTCTAAAACAGTGAAGAATGTGGAGACTGGTCGAAGTGTCCCAGGAGTGAAGATGTTTTTTGGGCATGAGATTGTGAATGGTGAGAGCTTCTTGTTCCCTGAATGCTGGTGTTGGCATTTGCAGTAGTAGTAAACTCGCTGCTCTGCCTCATTCCAATGTTTGAAATACAATGGGTCATTGTCTTGCCTTTAATACTGCATTTATAAACTCTTAAAGTTGGTATTTGAGAATTGACCCTTTTCCTGTTTTGGTGGGTACTCTATAAGCAGAATATCTTTGAAGAATTTTTATCATTTTGGTTTTACAATGGAAGGAGTTCTAGGATTGGTCGCTAGAGACTTGGCCAGTGGGCGGAGTTCGGAATCTGAGCAGGAAAGGGTTGTCTGTGCTCAGCAAGATGGTTTAATACTACAGGTTCACAATCCATTTACAATCTTTTATCTGGAACCTTGCGGCAAATGTTCCAGAATCCAGAATTATTCAGGATTTTTGGAAAATGTAACATGGGGTTCAGATTATATAACATGCCAAGAGGGTCTGGGCAACACTCTAATTAAACACATATTTCTACAGAGAAACGGGTGGCTAGTCATATGAAATGGAATAAGACTATAAATGTCAGGTTTTGCCACCAAAAGAGTTACAAAAAAATTTTATTTTCGAAGCTTTTTGCATTTTAGAATTGCAGAGAAAGGGATGTATATAATAAGCCTCATTGATGGTGATAGGAATCCCAGGAAAGGCTTATTAGGAGCTATAGAGAAGCACTTGGAAGAAGGAAAGGAAGCAGCCCTGTTCTTTATTTCTCCCATATAAGCCACTTAGCAAGACTAGGTCCAATTGTTTACATAGAAGAATAGATATGGCAGATCATCTAGTAAGTGTGCTTCAGATGATCAGATAAGCCAAATGGAATAAGGGAAATGAGTTGGGAGCAAGAATAATATTAATTGGCTAATCAGCATTTTTAGTGAATTTTACTTTCTCTGCCCTAGACTCAACACTTCTAGATAGTACAGGGAAGAGAGACATTTGAAACATAGTGGTCCTCTGAGGTGCTTTTCCCCTGAAGAGTACCTAAATATACTTTGTTGAATCTAAAATACCATTAATTTATAAGATGCACTATTACTTTTTTGTACCTTAACAAAGAAAAAGAAGCTGCCCATTAAACTGTCATGCATATTTTTTGTAAATCACATCCAACTTCAGAACTGTTTAAAATGTGCGTCTTGGATTCAATGAAATATAGTATTTCTCTCTGTTCCCTGGACTCTGAGGTTAAAAATAATTGATTTCATGTCATTGAACTATTAATACACCAACCGGTGAGAGTGGAAGGGACATATCTCTGAATGATTTAAGAGAAAACTCCCAAACAGTATATAGTGTGAGGTAAGATACATTAGGATTGGGATGAATGGGGAAACAAAAATATCTTCCAAACCAGTGTGAATGACCACAAAGGCGCTCTGGAACAAAAAGGGTAAAGGAAACACACAGGGGTTCCTAATCCAGCTAAATGACCAAGGGTGCTACCTAGGGGCATGATATTGGGAGACTTTAGTATTATGGATAGTCTTTTCTGCTCTGATTATTTACTGCTGGCCAATAAAGACCTCCATGGATGTTCATTTCTTACAAACATTTGCTTTCCAATTACTGGTGGTGTAATGGTTAAGAGGTTGGCAGTTCAAATCCACCAGTTGCTCCTTGGAAACTCTATGGGGCAGTTCTACTCTGTCCTATAGGGTCGCTATGAGTCCAAATTGACTCAATGGCAACAGGCTTGATTTTTTTTTTTTTTTTTGTTTTTTTAGTCAAACTGGAAAGATGGGAGCAAGGGGGTAGTTAATTGCTTTCAGCTTGGGAGCTCTGTTGGACACCATTTGGTTATTTTACAGTGGAACTACTGGATGAAGTAGAACAAGGTGCAGTGAGAGAAAAGGCATCTTCTGTTAGGTATGATGGAATAATTTTCTTAATTATGATGTTTCTCAAATATGCACAATAGGGTAGAAAGCCTTAACTCTAATTCACTAGCTGCTTAATTCCTAACGTGGCCCCGGAAAATAGAAATGAGAAGAAATAGAAAGATATTTTCTTCCATCTTTAGATAGTACCCTCAAGTCAATTTAAGCAGTGGATGAATGGGTCATCTATTTAATGGGGGTCCCATCCTTACCATTGATGTGTGGCTAAATCTGTGCATGGCATCAGAAAAAAAAGAACAAGTTCACCTAAGTGTTGTTTTTTTGTAAGAATAGTCTAAATACAGAAAGAACCAAGAGGGATAAAATGAAAGATGAAGACCTAAATGTATGTCAGCCTGCTTCTTCTGTCCCCGAGGCACCAACTTCTCTGCTAAATGACTTTAAGTACAACCCTTCAGGTGAGTACTGGGACTCTGGATTTTCTAGGCTTTCTTTATTGTGGTTCAGAGCTCTTCAAAGTTGGCATAACCTGAATCAAGGTTCTACATGTGATGTTCAGCTGGGCCATTGCTTCTAGGCTCTGAATTAAGATAAAATATCATGATTCACTTGTTTATTTAGTATTTGAGTACTTACTGTGTGCCAAGCATTGGAGATAGAGAAGTGAACAAAAAGGAGAAGAAATCCCTACTTTTGTTGAGCTCTGTGCAGAAGAAAGACACTAAATAAGATAAATAGTAAGATATATAATATGCTATGGCCAAATACTAAAGAGGAAAAAACAAGAGAGCAAATACGTGTGTGTGTAGTGGCGGGGGGTGGGAGTGGGGGACAGTGGTTTTGCAGTTTTACAGTGTCCAGGAGAGGCCTCACAGACATTGTGACATTTGCATAGCACCTGAAGGGGGTGAGGGATCAAGCTGGGGGAACTGTTTTAGGCATAAGAAAGAACAGATACAAAGGCATGAGATCAGGACTATGCCAGGATCTTGAAGAAACAGCAAGGAGATCTGCGTAGCTGGAGCAAGAGAAGTATTAGTAGATGAGGTAGGGTGAGAAGGATCATGGAGGATTTTGTAGATCATTTAAGGATCTTGGGCTTTTACTCTGTGAATGATAAGAGCAAAAGGCCACTGGAGGGCTTTTTGCAGTGGTTAAGAGCTTGGCTGCTAACCAGAAGGTCGGCGGTTTAAATCCACCAGCTGCTCCTTGGAAACTCTATGGGGCAGTTTCTACTCTGTCCTGTAAGGTCACTATGAGTCAGAATCGACTCAACGGCAAGGGATTTGGGTTTTAGTTTAATTTTAATAAGTGGTATCTCATTGTGGTTTTAATTTGTTTTTCCCTAATGACTAAAGATGCTAAGCATGTTTTCATGTGCTTATTTGCTATCTGAATATCTTTGGTGAAATGTTTCTTCAAATCTTTTGCCCATTTTTTTTTTTATCACATTGTTCATTTTCTTATTGTTCAGTTTTGGGAGTTCTTTACACAGTCTAGATACAAGTCCTGTGTCAGATATGTGCTTTGCAAATATTTTATCCCAGTCTATAGCTTGTCTTTTCATTCTTTTAAAGTATCTTTTGAAAAGTAGACACTTTTAATTTTGATGAAGCCCAATTTATCCATTTTTTCTTTTATGGATTATGCTTTTAATGTTGTAGCTAAAAAACCTTTGCCTAACTCAAGGTCACGAAGATTTTCTCTCATGTTTTCTTCTAGAAGATGCATAGTTTTAGGTTTTACACTTAGGTCTATGATCCATTTTCAGTTAACTTTTGTGTATGGTGTGAGGTATGGATCAAGGTTCACTTGTTTTCTTTTCCTTTTATTTTATTTTTTTGCATTTGGATACCCAGTTGTTCCAGCACCATTTGTTGAAAAGACTGTACTTTCTTCACTCAGTTGCCTTGGTACTTTTGCCAAAAATCAATTGTCCATGTATACGTAGGTTTATTTCTGAACTCTCTGTTCTGTTTCATTGGTCTATTTGTCTACGTTTTACACCAATACTAGGCTGTTTTGATTACTGTTGCTTTATGGTAAATCTTGAAATCAGATAGTGTTAGTCCTTCAACTTTGTTTTTCTGTTTCAAAGTGTTTTTGGCTATTCTAGGTCCTTTGCATTTGCCTATAAATTTTAAAATCAGCTTGTCAAGTTATAACCTGCTGAAATTTTGATTGGGATTGCATTGAATTTATGGATCAGTCTGGGGAATATTGGTATCTTAACAACATTGGGTATTCTGATCCAGGAACTCGGTATACCTTTCCATTTGTTTAGATCTTTTTAAATTTCTATCGGCAGTGTTTTGTAATTCTCAGTGTATATGTCTTGTACATCTTTTGTTATATTCATCCCTAAGTGATTCATATATTTTATACTGTTATAAATGATATTTTTTGAAACTTCTAATTTTTCGTTGGAGGGTTTTGAGCATAGAAGTGATGTGATCTGACTTCTGTTTTAATAAGATCACTCTGGATGCTGTATAGGTACTGACAGGAGGGCAAGAGTAAAAGCAGGGATATGAGTTTGGAGGCTATTTAAATAATTTAAGACAAGTATTTATGGTGGCTTGGCCCCTGGTGGTTAGTAGAGTTAGTAAGAGTGGAATTCTGGATCTATGTTGACGTTGGACCCAACAGGATATACTGAGAGAAAGAGAGGAACAAAGGATGACTTCAAGGCTTTTGGCCTCAGCAACTTGAATCATAGTGTTGCTATTAAACTGAGATGGGAAAGACAGTGGGTGGAAAAGGTTTTGGGGATATGATCAGTAGTTCAGTTTTGTCCAACTTAAATGTGATTATAAGTCTAGAAATTAGGAGAGAGGTTTGAGATGGAGATATAAATTCAGGAGTCAGCTTATTTAAAGCCTTGAGAATAGATAAGATCATTAAGAGAGTGATTATTAATAGAAAAGAAAGAGGCACAAGGACTATGCCCTGTGGCACTCCAACATTTTAGAAGTTGGGAGGTGAAGAGGAACTATATGCTATGTTATACCGCTACAGTTTTAAATTATAAAAATTTAAAAAGTCATTAACTGTCAGGACCCAGAGAATTCCAAAAATCTGGGCTTTGGCCAGTCTCCAGGCCTAATTTATTTAAAACTGTAATTATTTTTGTTACGAACATACTTTTTAAAAGTCCATGTCTTGGAGTATCCAGGACATAAACCTTCAAGGAGGGAGACATTACTGGATTCTCATAGGAAATGAGTAAATGGTTTGTGTCATAAGATTATCCAATGGTGAGGATTTTGTTTATTCTCACTTGACATAGAGGATGCTAATAGTATTCAGTGTGTAATGGGCTGAGACAGGAGATAACGTTAGACATTTGAGTTGCAATAGGGTAGGAGTTTATGAATATGGCCAAAGTTAGTGGGAGGGCTATTGTATTGCCAAGGAAGATAAATATCTCTAATGCTATCCTTCTCCTGTAGAGGAAGAGGAGGTAACATATACTGTGATTGATCAGTTCCAGCAGAAGTTTGGTGCTGCAGTAAGTATTTCCCTCAGTCATTCCCAGTATTATCTTTTTGTAGGTATCATGTCTGTGCCTTATAAATCTCTCTCTTCTTATAAGATCTTTGATGTTTTCCCTATTAATTCAACTAATATTTGAGTGCCTGCTCTATGCCAAGCACTGTTCTTAAGCTCTGCGGTGAAACAGTAATCAGTACGATGTTCTTGCCCTCAAGGAGTTTACATTCTAATGCCAGAAGTAAACAAACGACTATCAGTCAGTCATAAGTGCTATGAAGAAAAACAAAGCACGATATGGGGAATAGAGTGACGAGGAGGTCCTATTTTTTGTAGGATAGACAGAGAAAGCTTCTCTGAGATGGTGACATTGTAGCAGAGACCTGGAGGAAGTGAGGGAGCTAGCCATGTGGATATCTAGGTGAAGAACTTAAAGAAGGTGGAATTAGCAAGTGCAAAGGCTCTGAGGCTGGAGCGCATTTGACTTATGTAGGGAAAAGCAGGGAGATCAGTGTGGCAGGACCACAGCGAAGAAAAGTGGTAGGAGATAGAAGGGGGTGAGAAACAAATCATATAGGGCTTTCTCGACATTGTAGGGATTTTGAGTTTGACTTGAATGACATAGAAAGCCAATGGCAGTTTTTGAACAGAATCAGAAATTATCTGACTTACATTTTAAAAAGACCACTATGGATGCTTTATTTAGGTGATTTCTCTAAAATCATTTATTAATTTTAGAAGTGGCCGTAACTAATTATTCAGCATCGGCTAGAGTTCACAGATAGGCTTTAGGGGAGTCATTCAGCTTTCTCTGTGGATGCCAGCTTATTTGTGTGTGTGCACAGGGGCATTTTTCTAGGGAGAGGGGTCCTTAGCTTTCAATAGATTCTTTTTTATGAAACAGCTTTATTAAGATGTAATTCATGTACAGTACAATTCACCCTTTGAAAGTGTATAATTTAATGGCTTCTGGTATATCCACAGAGTTGTACATTGTAATTACAATCAATCTTAGAACATTTTCATTACCCTAAAAAGAAACCCCATACCCCTTAGCCATCACCCCCATCCTTCCACTCCTGGCTCTTCTTTCTGGGTGGTGGGGAGATTCCCCTCCTCTCCGCCTCTGCGGTGGCTCATTTTAAGCCTAGTGGGATGGCAAAACTGACCAATCCCCTTATTAGGGTTCCATACACCTTATTTGCATGGTCCCACCCCCACTAGGGTGCCATGAATCTTATTTACATTATTAGCAAGCTATCCAATCCCCTTGGTGGGCCACAAGCACCTCATTAGCATACTCCTACTCTGTCATTTGGTGGGAATTACAAAGACTGGCTAGAAGAGTGTTTTAGTTATCTAGTGCTGCTGTAACAGAAATACCACAAGTGGGTAGGTAGCTTTAAGAAAGAGAAGTTTATTCTCTCACAGTTTAGTAAGCTAGAAGTCGGAATTCAGGGTGCCAGCTCCAGGGGAAGGTTTTGTCTCTCTCTTGGCTCTGGGGGAAGGTCCTTGTCATCAATCTTCCCCAGGACTAGGAGTTTCTCAGTGCAGGGGCCCTGGGTCCAAAGGGCATGCTATTCTCCTGGCTCTTGTTTCTTGGTGGTATGAGATCCCCCTGTCTCTCTGCTTGTTTCTCTCTTTTATATCTCAAAAGAGATTGGTTTAAGACACAACCTAATCTTGTAGATCGAGCCCTGCCTCATTAACATAACTGCCGCTTATCCCACCTCATTAACATCATAGAGGTAGGATTTACAACACATAGGAAAATCACGTCAGATGACAAAATATTGGACAGTCATACAATACTGGGAATCATGGACTAACCAAGTTGATAGATATTTTGGTCGGACACAATTCAATCCATAACATTCCACTCGTTGGCCCCCAAAAATCCATGTCCTTGCCATATGTAAAACATGTTCACCCCATCACATCATAGCAAAAGTCTTAAATCAATGCAAGTCCAAATTCCAAAACTTCCTCTTCATCTGTGAAATCTAGAGTACAAGTTATCTGCTTCCAAAGTACAATGGTGGAACAGGCACAAACTAGACATTTCCATTACAAATGGGAGAAATTGGAGGGAAAGAAGGGATAACAGGCACAAAGCAAGTCGACAGAACGCATTACATTAACCCTCAAGGCTTGAAAATAATCCTCTGTTCTCTGAGACCGTTTACACATTTGCCCTACCTTCCAGACTCTAAGTAATGGCCATATTCTCTGGATTCTGCATGGAGGCCCCTTGGCCTGGGGTTCAGCTTCACCTTCCAGGCCCATTGGAATGGCAACTCTGCTCCCTCAGCTTTAGACAGCCCCATTCTCCTAGTCCATCTGAGTGGCAACTCTACCCTTTGAAACTGAGGCAGCTCTGCTTCCTGTGTTCCTTGTCTTTTCAGCTTCTGATTCCTGGTTGGCTTCTTGGCCCTTGGGCCTCGCAGCCCGCATCTGCCCTGCTGGGGCAAATATTCCAAAGCTCTGTAGCTCCGCCGATAAGTGCCTTGAGGCACCCCGCTCCACCAGTAAACTTTGGCTAAAAGGTACTTGGCTCTTTTGCTGTGTGGGTCGGCAAGCCTAGCTCTGCTGATAAGTGGCCATAGGCACCCCACTCCACCAGGAAGCCTCCTGCACCAAGGCACTCAACTCTTTTGCTCTGTGGGTCAGCTCCAGCACTGTCTCACGCCAGTCTCCTGGTTTTGCTGCTGCTGTTTCTCTGCTGCTGCCGTTTCTCTGTTGCTACTTCTTAAACCATCTGCGCCATCTCCAGTGTAACAGCTGTCCTCATTTCCTTCTGAGTCCTCACCAGAATTGTCTTTGATGTCCATAATTCCACCAATAGTCTTTTCATGGCGATCTTAAAACTATTTCAGCTTCTACCCATTCACAGTTTCAAAACCACTTCCACATGTTAGGTATTTGTTAGAGCAGCACCCCACTCCTGGTACCAAATTCTGTCTTAGTTATCTAGTGCTGCTGTAACAGAAATACCACAAGTGGGTAGTGTCTTAGTTATCTAGTGCTGCCATAACAGAAATACCACAAGTGGATGGTTTTAACGACGAGAAGTTTATTTCCTCATAGTCAAAGTAGGCTAGAAGTCCAAATTCAGAGCATCAGCTCCAGGGGAAGCCTTTTTCTCTCTGCCGGCCTTCTTCTCTTCAGTGTTCCCCCAGACTAGGAG